TCTCTTTCCTGTGGGTTATCTTGATTACGGGAAGAGATAGCGAACAGAAGTTTTAACGAAACATACATAGTTCTCTTACGTCTATAAAATTGCAAGATGGAATTCTGTAGACGTGAAAGCTCGAGATAATCTTGGGGGTGGTTTCAAAGTAAAATTCGGCACGAAAAAGATTGCAATGTATTTTACTCTACCTACACGAAGTTTCATAATCTTTTGAATTTCCGCATAAACGATCTTAACACAAGACTTTAACACTAGAACTACCAGTCAAAATGACTACTTTCGATTTCTTGTTTCGCAATTATTGACTCTATGCACTCGAAGATTTTTCTCAGTGACACTACCAGCGATTCGAAGTAATTTTAATAGAAAAAGCATATGGACTTATAAATAAATGATATGTGCATGAAGACAAAAGTCATAGATGTATTTTACTGTTTTCTATCGATTATACATATAAATGTTATAATATATTTAACAGCAAATTTGAAATGGCTCTGCTCCAGAACCCTCGAGTGCAAAGGGTTGTCTTAAAAGTGAAAATAAATAATTTCACCTGAATACTATAATGAATGCCGGAAGAAACTGAGAATAATCTATTACAATTTTTATAGAGATTACATATCAATCATATTGAATGCTCGATGGTTCTAGTGTTACCAATGGCAATGTAAATAAAACTGTAACATTGAACCTCCGATTCGAGACCGAGCAACGAGAAAGGACATCCGTCTCGATCACAGATATCGAGAACGAAGAAAGGAACGTCGCAATAAATAACAGAAAAAGGGAATTGCCGTGCTCGGTGCCGACAAATAAATAAACAAGCTTATTTATTCCCTTCGAAACGGCTGCCTCTCGAACATCCCCAGCGTCCATTGTTAACGGGAGCTCCGTTCGAGATTGAGCCCGCGTTCCCATCGATGAGGAAACGGGTTGAGGGGAGAGTCGCGAGCGTTTCCACGGAAAGGAAAGGAGAAAATCCATTTTCGAGACGTCGGATAACTGAGGGAAACGCCGGGAAGATTTCCCAAACGACAAACAGGCCAGACGAGGAGGCGCGCGCGCGCGCTCGCTCGCTGCGAGGAAGAACCGCGAGTGGCTTCCGCGCCGGTCGACTGCTATTTATAATGAAAATATTTTCACGACGACCACGATGTCCGAGAGCTGCCCACGTATCTATCGACGGATATACATCTCGAGACGCATTTAGCACCTACGTCCATCGATCTCTCCGCGTCTTTTTCTCTCGGAGGCCCCCTTCGCGACAACGATAAACAATTAACACTAGATTTCGCGGACACTTATTCCGCTTACACTTTATTCTATTGCTCCTGGAAGACTGTTTGTTTATATACAGTTGGTAACGAAACTATTCGAACGCTTGGATTTGCAATTTTTAATGAACGATGTATACAGTCGCGTTCTAAAGTTCTCGGATCGTTCTTAGTACGTTCTCCTCTTAACGAGACGTTTTTCTTGTTACTCCGGAGAAAAGGGAATCGTCTCTCTTGGTTTGTTAGGTGGTTCGTGGGAGAAAATGTTTGTAGATAAAGTAATGATAATGCACTAGAGTAATAATGAGGAAGTAGTAGTCAAATGTTTGTAAATAAAGTAATGTAATATAATAGTTTTTAAGTATTAAGATTGTACGGCTGCAATCCTTAATTGTCTTCTCTCTTTAGCTTCTATAATTTAGAAAAATAGAATTATCCATGAACGTTGAATTTCGAAATGTAAGTAGTAATCAAATGTTTGTAAATAAAGTAATGGTATAATATAATATTTTTGAAGTATTGCAAATGTACGGTTGCAATCCTTGTCTTCTCTCTTTAGCTTGTATAATTAGAAAAACAGACCTGTGTACGAACGTTGAATTTAGAAATTGAATATACCGACTAAACATCAAAGTCAAATTTCGAAACAAACGGATACAAACGTCACGAGAGGACCAACGAGTGGACCTGCGTTCGACCAGAGGTTTAACGTCCGATTTCCAATTTTCCTTTTTTTCGACAGGAATGAAACGAACAAAACGAAAGCTCCGAATCCCGTTGCACGCGTGCACGCTGGAAATTTTATTTCCCGATACGTCTTCCCTTCAATTTCGTCGAGTATTGTTTTCCCGGGAAACAATCGCGACCCAATATTCGAGAGCGCGGATGTACAGAGACGAGCGCATCGATTGGATTTGTTTTCGAAAGATTTGATTTCCGCGAAGAAACACCGCGGGCCTCACTCCCTTCTGGATCGTCAAGATTTATGCGCGACCACAGGGGTTCTTGGAACGGCAGCGCCATTGTTCGTTAAGCTGTGTTCCCACTAACGAGCCATTATCGAGAGTAACCGATATTCAACTGGTTCATAACTAACTTCCGTAAAATATTAACCCACAACCGGTCGGAAGTATTTTAAGTTGACTTACCGCCAAGAAACCATAACATAGGTAAAAAGCGGAAAGAAATTTACAGAAGTGACTTAGCGCAATACTTAACGTGTTAATTGTAAATATTAATAAATAAAAGTGCCATATCTGTTTATATGGCGTCATTGCTCCATTAAGGGTTAACCCTTTGCAGACGAATGTCGGCATTTTGCTGAGATCAAACTTCCATGTTTGGAATACCAAATTGCAAATAAATGATTTAACTATTCTAACAGCAAAAAATCAGTAAACAGTTTTATTATTCTTTATGATTTAAGTATTCAGTGTTTAATTTAGCAGAATCTGCGAAAGGTTTTGTGTACTAAAAACAATCTTCGTCCGCAAAGGGTTAAAAGTATAATTTAGTAAAAGGAACTACAACAACGAATGAAAATTAGTAATGAACTAGTAATTCCAATCGTCCAACGAGAAAAGACAACTATTGAAGAATGTCTCCGCGTGAGTCACCACCGAATGTCCACTCGACACCATTCATTTTTAAACAGATTTCCACCGATACAAATTTCCCAAATCGAAGCAACAGATAACAAGCAAAAATACCTTGAACTCGTTCGCATTCCGAGGCTCGAGGCATTGACATTTCGACGACGATCTATTTCCAATGATTGTACAAATTGACAATAAAAAAAGTGTTACCCGATGACGCGGTAGGGAAAGACAGAAATAAATTGATAACTAGTTCCAGATCGGTAGATTAATTGACAATATCGTCGCTTTAATAACGCCGCGGCGGATACAATACGTCATCGGGCAAGTTTCTCGGGGTTTATCTTCGTCGCAATTTCGTCCTCGATTTAGGACGGTCTAATTGAAACGTCGATTTCATCGATACAGAGCTTGGAAACAGAGAGCGCCGATATAAGTGTCGTCGGAGCTGAATGGAACGCTGCGACCGGACTATTTTCAACGACGACGAGACTCCTGAACAGGCGGACACGCTCCGGCTTCGATGATGAATAATCTATCGTCCCTACGGCGATCTCATTCTTTGACGTCTCGCTTCCGTTCGAAAATAAAATCCCCGGATTCCCTGTCGCGAATTAAATAAACCCGCAGTATAGTCGATATTTCGTCGAATGGGACTCTCGCCTCGTTGCTGGGGCAAAAGCTGTCGTTACTGTGCGAGAGTTCCGAGCGTTTTCAGCGAATCGGTGTTCGAATACTAGTTGTGCACACTGAATTCGGTATTTTATTCTCATTATTACATGGACGCAGTGAAGTGTTTCATTTCGCGATGGTAACTTTACAGTGAATTTTATTTCTATTACAATACAATTGATCACTTTTTGTTAATTGATTTCAAAATAGATGTACCATCTACAGGTGATATCTTTCCACGTCTCCCTTGAACTGAAGGGGCAAGAGCGACAAGAGGACACGGAGCATAGTTTGACAAAGTCAAAGAAGAAATGAAAAGATATTATCTATAAACAGTAGTTTCATACAAGAAAAAGAATATTTTCAATAAATTAATCCCCCGCATAGACTTTAACCCCTTGACTTCCAATATCGTGTCAGAATTTAACAAATCTAAATGTCAATTCTTCTAAGTTCGAATTGAACATTATTTTCTATTATTAATTGTAATGCTTCTGAGTAAACGTAGACACACAATAATTGTAGAATTTTCCTCTTTTCTTACTGAATTAACAATAAAGCATTTCTGTTGAACGCAATTGGAAAAGAAATCACAGAGTTAATTTGAAAATTAGAAAGTCTAAGAGAGTCAAGAGAACATTTTTATAGAGAAACTCGAAGTAGCATGAGTTCGATTTACCAAAGAATAAATATGACCCGCAAAAGTTTGAATTCCGAGTGCCGAACTTGCAAGGACAGAAACCGAACGCCTGCTGGAGGGAACGCGCGGAAAGAAGCGACGCGATGTTAGCGAAGCAACACGTGCCCGTCGTTCATCAGGGCACATAAATTCACGGACGGCCGGCCCTGAAGAATGCCCCGGAATTGAAAGGAGCTATAGAGAAACGCGGGGTTTCGGCTGGTACCGGATCAATACCATTCGCATCCAGTTCCTCTCTGTCGGCAGTCGCATTCCCGCGTCCTTTCCAGCGTCCGTCCAGCCGACAGGCTCGCGTTAAAGCCCATTAAATAGGCACGAAGTTTGGAAAATTCGCGGCGTCGAATAATTCAACGCGATACGCGACGGCACGGCGAAGTTGGCGTGCCGCCGCATGGAAATGCGGACCTTAACCGGGATTGTGTACGGTAACACCTCGACAGGAGGGTCATTTACGATAATACCTGGGTAATTGTACGTTTTAGCCACCGTATACGCCTGTCCGCGTCAATCCCTTGTCGTAGGACCTTCTCTTTTCGAAGTGTAACAGAGAAACTACGGTGATGCCTCGATACTTGTCCGTGTCTGTTCAACGTCGGGAGAGAACCGTGAATGCTCCCGTAGACATACACTCCCGCTACATAGAACTCATACGATCTACAACGCGCGAGAGTAATGATTACAGTAAAGCCCCGATAGTTGTCCATTCCCGTATCATCAAACCAGCCCCATCGCGTTACAATAGAACTGTAGAGATACCTCCAAGTATAATCCTCCGAGTATTTCCTCCGAGTATAATCCTCCTCGCTACAGAAGTACGGTATAGCCTCGACAAAAGTCCTCTTCTCTACCCATTAAATTCCTCTATGGCCAAGGTATAAGGATACGGATCGGACGTAAAGTAAACCTGAAGAATGAGCGAAGAGTCATTGAGAGTGTTGAGAAGTGTGAATCGGTCCGTCGTCGAATCGATAGAAATGATTTGATAAAATATATAAGCGGGCGAGTACATCGGCGTGGAGGCGCGCGGAACGACGCTCGGGCTGGACGCGGGAACGCGGAAGAGAAGCAACGGGAGAAGGGACAAGGGCGCCCTGTTGATCCCCGGCGAACAACACGGGCTTCCCCGGTGCGGCGACTGTATTTAACGAAGTAACCGCCACACTAAGTCGTACACGCTCCCGACGAGGCCTGGTCAATTTTGGCGCGGGTCCAGGCCTACGTCAGGATCGTCTCTGACGCCAGCATCAATGAAAGAACGTGAGAGAGGAAGCGAGAGGGCGAGAGAGAACGCTCGAACGAGTTGACAGGTTATATCTCTCTGTAGGCCTGTGGACCAAAAATAACGCGGGTGTGCGTTTAACGCGCGCCGTGGCGGTTTTCACCGAGACTCCTTGGCCGCGCGAAGAGGATAGTCCTCGGCGCGCGGTCCGCTCGTTTGCCGAACGGCCGCCGGTCACCTAAACGCCCTCCAATTACACCGAATCGTTCCCGGTGTAATTACATAATCCGTTATCCAATATATTTTATCGCGGAGCCGTCCGTTAAACTCGAGCGTGAACAGCTTCCGACGGAACGTTTCGTCGACGCTCGACGACGATGGGAACGAAAGCTGGCAATAACCGGGAATATTTCGAATATCAACCGTTTACGCTCGAGGGCTACGTAGCGGAGCCATTTAAAAGTCGCCGTTCTAAACTGTAGGATTCTCTTGTTGACACGTTGAACGCCGCACGATTTCATAGAGAGAAATGCATAAAATGAGAAAAATATAATAGTAAATCATTTGATCAAATTGCGTTATTGCACGCTGGCCTTGCTCAATGTCGCCGCATTCGGTAGCATTGTTTGTAATATAGAAATGTCGTCATATAGTCGTTTAACTGAATGAACTATAGTAATTCGATTTGGTTGGGGTCACCGGTGACCTTCATGGCATTCAACGTGTTAAATATACAGCTTGTAACGGTTGTATCTATAGTCGGTGGAAACAATATTTAGTTCTATGCGAATATGTTTCTTCCGTTGAAATTGTTTTGAGTATGAAGGGTTAATATTTACTAGGAGGATCTTCGAGTTCACTTTTCTCCTCTTGGATTACGGTAATGCCTCTCTACTTGTTCAGGAGACGGGACCCGCAGCAAGCTTATAGCGAAGCACGGCACCGAAGGTTCATCGATCGTTGGTCTACAGTCTCAGTAGATTTTTCCTGCTCTTTCTTCGGTAGAAGTCTAAAAACGTTATAGAAATTGGTCGATTTATCATGATGGAATGCGTAGAAAATGATTCTGTAGCCTTCAATCCATTTTAAGGTATCATCTTATCCGTACCTTCTCTTCTTATTTCGTATAGAGATCGCGACGATGGAAAGACAACTCGCGGCTGCGTCTTTAGAGCGTAAACTGTCGGAAAACAGCGCTTGCTTATATAGAAATACAAGTTAGCTGACTTGAACGCTTGATCAGTTGAAACTGACGGTGAAGATTGTTCGATTCACACGTTTATCTAGAGACAGCCGTCTCCGTTGTGCATCTTGCAGCTCCCTGCTGCATTATTCAACTGATATGAGGCATTTCACGTTGACTGGAAGTTCGCCGGCGCACGTGAAAGAAAGAAGGCGCATCGTACCCCGGAGTTTACTTCCATTCGAGCTTTAAGCTTTCTTCACACTGACAAGAATATATATCGCTTTGCAACTTTCCAGGAACAGGTGAAATTCGAAGACACAATTCAGAAATATCCTGCAATTCGTATCTACTTCCGATTGAAACTTCAACCCAACGTCAATAAATACAAATACTGTACTTCTATTAAAAATTTCAATACGATACAGAGATATTAACTTTCAAGCTACCAGATGACTACCATTCCCGATGTCTTCTTTTCGCAATTATTAAAAAGATAAACGTTTCTCTGAGAAATCATCAACCAAATGGATTTACCAATACGAAAACTGTATTGTAAATCAATTAAAGTGAAACTCTTGAAATTTCCATAGAGGAATTTCAGCAGAATTCAACTGCTCGCTAGTTTCAGCATTAAAGAGTAAAATAATACAGAACAAACTTCCAAGAAGCTATTCCATCGGAAACGAGGAACAATCAAAGAATTCTTTCCAAACTGAATCCCAGTATCAACAAAATTGATTTCGAATGCTGCCGAAATCGACACCCGGTCCAACTAGCACGGAACCACGGCGATTACGAGAAGTATTCACCAGTGAACGCACCATAAGCTATAAGATCGAATCACGAGAGAAATTGACCACCTCGAATAATGCAGACGCGGTATCGTTCATTTCCTACTATGACGGCAGCAAAAACAACGCCAATTGTCGCATGAAGAATGCAAGAAACACGTGCGCCCGTGCGATCGAGCGATGGGGGAGGGTCATGGAAATTTTAGGTCGTTGTCCCTCGCGCATTGGCTTTCCACGTTGCGATACGTACGCGCCGGGAAAACCCTGGCCGTATCTATAACATTGGATCGATCTTTCGAAGATTTCCATTCGCTTTTCCATCGAGATCCTAATCGTTCGTTCTCGGAAACGTCACCCGGTCGGGGCGGGGCGGGGCGGGATCTAGGGTCAGGATCGAAGGATCGACGCACGCGACGACCAAAACGGGAAACCGCGAGAACGGGTAATTTATTACGGTGCCATGACGCGATCGACCACCCTTTGTCCCCTGCCGCTAACTTTCCCGGGCGAACTTTTCAACGAACGACCCTGACTCAGCCAGAGGCAACGGCATTTCGCGGTAAAAAAGCCTTATTAAATGTCAACCGGCGTCCTTATCCCGTTTGATATCAATTTTAGCGGGCCACCGAGACGGTGCTGCGAAAAGGTGTCGGGACACGGCCGACTTGACGCCGAAACAAGATTTAACGGTGGAACTGCCATTTCAGCGTTTAATATGATTCATATAGAATTCTTATTCAAAATTGTAACAATAGATTCGTCACGGTTTGTTCGAACGTTCGTTGCAATATTCAAGCGGAACTACTTTGGAAATCAATTGAGATGTTTAACACTTTGATACGTCGTTGAAATTCTGACATCATATTTTTTATATAAAGTGAAACATTCGTTTTCTTGGTAACATATCGAACGAACCGAGGTCTGTTGGATGTATGAGATAGAAAAAAGATAGTAGAGCAATCGTTATAAAGAATCTGGACTGTTTAGTTTCTGCTTAATTAAGAGAACTGTTAAAAGTGTTGATAGTTTGAAGATAGCAGTAATCGTGAAATAAGGAAATCATTGCGACTGATGATTCCAGTGTTAACCCCTTGCGGTGAACATTTTAAATAGAATTTAACAAACGTAAATATTACTCAATTCCTTTGAACTCAAATTGAATATTATTCTTCTGTTATCAGTTATTATATTGTAAGACGAACGTAGACACAGAATATGCTTCGAACTTTTTTCTTTTTTCAATAAATTATTACTGACAAACTTGTTATATCGATCACCGTTGAAAAATAAATCATAGGCCAAGAGGTTAAAGATACCAAGAACCAGCGCGATCGCTGGATTAAACCTGAATTCCAGATTCGACGGCAGATAAAGAATTCCAGCGAATTTGCAAACCGCTTCCCGCGTTGCGGTTGTAATAATAAAGTGCACGAGAAATCCATTTGAATATGCACCGTTGGTTTCGTAAATCGCGGATCGACATGAACATATTCAAGTTGCTCTAATACACGTCCAATTTCTCATTTCGCTCGCGGGGAATTGAATAAACGTCGGGAAACGTCAACATCGAAGAAATTAATGATGCAACGCGACTCTATGCGCCTAACCGATGACTCAGAATCCATACCCGGGTAACAATGTTTTGCGAGACAACTCTGGAAAGGTATAGGCTCGCGCACGTGTTCCACTCACGTGATACGAACCGGCCGTCGAATGTTCTACGGCACGCCGGAAGTCGATTTCCGAGTTACGTAATGTTAGACGGAGAGCAGGAACGGGAATCTACGAATCTCGGTGGATCTTGAAACGATGAGACGTGTTCTTAATTAATTTTCCTTCGTCGTGATCGCATGAATCATTCGTTCGCCATAGGTTCAACCTTTCCGTCCACTACTCCCACGCGTATTTGTCACGACTTCGCTCGACGAACAACGCTCGATACCTAAAAGAACGGTCTCCTTTAATTCGATGTGAGATATGGTCTACCAACCGTTCAGTCTCGATAGAAATAAAATCGTAGAAGTCCCGTGACGAGCGCTCGTTACAGGGGACTCGATTTCTGGACACCGAAGGTGTGGAGGAAGCCAACAGCTCGTTAAGGGTACGACGGGGATGTCCTTAGAGAAGCAGTCCGGTTTCTTATAGAACCGTAACACGCCAGCGTCGTCGAATCGAGGGCCACTGCAGCCACTTTTTATCTCGTAGGACCTCGACGAGCCTCCCACGCGTCCCGTTATCTCTTATCAAACTCTCATCCACGGCCGGCCATCGTTTCTGTTTATCGTAGCCGGCGTTAATCGCCTTTCAACGCCGATCCATCGCTCAGAAATGATCCTCGAGCTCCTGTTGCCCCTAATCTCCGTACCCGATAGCCGCATTCCGTTAACGAAGGAGTACCGTTCGATCCTAAGACCAGATTACGCGACGGGATCGGAAAATGGAACACGGTAATTACGATAATCCTCGCTCAAAATCGAATTCCTCTATACTCGGCGTAGGAAATTTCATCTGTCCATTACCTGGGTAGCCTTAGTCAACTTGCCAGGTCGGTTAGAGGACGATACAGGATCAAGGATGGACTCTTCGAAGGATTCATCTGTGACATGAAGAACAGTTTTAGATAAATATTGCCGTGCCGAGGGAATGGTCGTTCTTAACACGTTGAATGCCGCACGATTCCATGGAACAAAATACACGAAAAGGGAAAAGTATAATATTAAATCATTTGATTGAATTGCATTATTATTATTGCGTCAAGCTGAATATCACCGCATTAGATAGTAGTATTTATAATATAGAAATGTTTACCAATCATCGGTTAATTGAATGAACTGTAATCATTTGATCTAGTTGCTGGTTAACGGTGATCCCCACGGTGTTCAACGTGTTAACGCTAAAACTACTAGTAACTGAAGTAATTTATTCTTAAACACCTTCGGAGTTTCAATAATTTCATCACTGGAACTACCAGACGAGTCGAAATGACCGGTTTCAAGATTCTTATTACGCCATTATTCAGACGATGAAGCTGCTATGAATAATTTCAAAGTAACTTCCTGCATTTGTGCAAATGCAGCGATAAGGAGGTCTTTAAACCTCAAGAAACCTGCTCTCCTAATTTTTACAACGAACTATAAATAACTCAGTCTTATTGCTCGATAGTTCGTATTGAACTCGAAATGTTCGCATAACTTATTTCGAGTTATCCAGTAGTCCAGTGTTGATAACAGGAAACAGAAAGAAAGAGCGACGATTTCACGATAAGAAAAGAAGTAGCGAAGCCGCTGGGAGCGGTGTCAGAGTCACCACAGTGCAACGGAAGTTGTCCTTGAAGGGTTAATCAAGAAAATGAGGAGCGGCCGGCGAAGCTAGGCGGTCCGAGTCCCGGCGTGTGCAACCGTACCCGAATCGGGGCTGTAGATAGGCCGAGTCCGACTGGTGAACTTGACCTTCACCCAGCACGGCTACCTTCGATCGAGCCTCCGCCGTCGGGAATCCCCCGAAAGAAGGTT